GTCTGCGAGGTGGGACAATGGCAGGCAATTGAATATCTGCGAATACGTATTCGACGCGTAGGACGGTTGCAGTCGCAATTGTCGGTGCGTCTCTCTCCAAGGTACCGACATCCCGTGTTATCGGAAACTTTGTACCTTTCTCTAAGCGTATATGTGCAAGGCATACCCACGAACTGTTAATAAATAAATGTGGCAACTTAAACCAATTAATTGAGAATTTAATTCGACGCAAAGATAAGGCGCCTCCACCGATGTGTAATTAACAACTGACTCGCGGGATCTTCGGTAAACGTTATAATCATAGGTTGAGTCAATTTGACCTAACCTTACATTCTGCGTATCAAACGGAAGAGAAAAGAAAAAAAAAAAGTCGGTGTGTGGCCACCACACGCGGTGGATGTGAAACTTGCATTATCTTTATTTCACTTTAAACGTTAATGATTAATTGAAAAGCTAACGCACTGATATTAACGAAAATGTTTACCAAAAATTGTCTCAATACTAACGCAGAAAGATGAATGATAAGTAGGAGCTAACTGCAAAAATAATTAACTTAAGGAATATCGTACTAAAACTGAGGAAAACGTTTAAGGCACACCGTTGCAATGCTAACGAACAAGGATAAATTAGTATAATTAATATAATTAGTAATTAAATCTAAAAAGAATAAAACAAAGTAAGTGTTCCATTTATCGTTACGCTCCCATTTCTTAACATGTACTACCGTGAGTTAATAAATTTTACTTAAAGAAATACGTATTCTCAAAACCACAGAGTTCAGTTCCAATTAACGCCGGATTTCAATTTTATGGTAAAAGTCCTCAAGTTACGCTTATCGCGCGATATTGTTGAACTAACGCCCACTGCCGTCTCGTTTAAGTAATTACATGTGCAATATCAATGCTGATGAACTTCAGGGGCAAGAATATGCGTTTGAACGCTCGTACTTGCGCAACTTGGGCAGAAGAGCTCCTTGGCTCGCAATAAAAGGGACATTTTCGCGTTCTGCGTTCGAATGGTCGCACTGTTAAAAGAAATATCATAATTTTATAACATTCTTGTTGGAAGTTTTATTCAGACATGGTACGCCAATTTTATAACATATTTTCAAATAAAATGTATAACACATATTATAAATTTAGTACACGTGTAAAATACTTATAATATATGCTATAAATTTGTGTTGATCGGTACTTGATATTAAACGTTTTTTCTGCAGACAAACAAATTTGACATATGTCCCGGGCACGTTCGAGGACGATTTTGGAGACAGCCCTACCTTGAACGCCGAAAAAAATCTTTTTGCAATTATCGCGGCATCGAATGCGGAACTCACGGAAAAGTAGCAGGTACGTTGTCCATGATGCTACCGGAGTTTACTATTGATCGTAAGAATTTTTTTTAATACTATTTAAATATTTCTCGGACTCAAGAATTCCGCTACGAGGCTTCTCCACCAAGACCACCGATACTTGTCATCGTTCGATTGAATTTCTTTAAAAATAAACTTACGTAAACGATTATAAGATTACAAACTCATCTAAAAAATTTGCAAACAATGCGTACCAATTGACTTTCGAATATCAAATTTATAATTTTTCTCCGCAATTTCTCAAAATTACAACGCAGTGTTATAAAATTGTAAATTAACTTAGAATTTTATAATAAATGTCAACTAATTCACTGTTAAGTCATGAAATTTATAATTCTATCGCGACCTTATGTACTAAAAGTGTATGAATTTTATGGATTTTTTTAACAGGGTGGAAAAGCGACGCCGTCTTCCCAGACCTTCGAATCGCGCGACGGAGAGGCCGCTCGGTGGAGGATTCTGCCCTGGATTCCGGGATTATCGGGCCAAGTCCTTCACGGACTACCTGGAGGACTTTAAGGACGAGCGATCGTAAAGGTTGGCGCCAGTCCTCGCGTACTTAACCTGACTTAACGTTTACCGCGTAAATGGGCCCGGGTACGCAACCATTGACGGGCCTTGCCAACCACCGGAGCTTTCCCCGGTAAATCCGGACGAAGGTCGAACTTTCCTCGAAAGCCCTCGACGACCGACACCCGAATGTAGATTATTCCTTCCGTGCAAATCTGCCGGATCAAAACATTGCGGGTGCAGGGTCGGCCCGGAATTTACGAACTTACCTGGGGCCCTCGTTAACGCGACTTATCAACGATTTCGGGCTGATAGGACCCGACGTCTGGTCCCAAAAGTTCCTTAAACCGGAACGGCGCGCGGACGGATCTAGGAATTTTCTTACGGAATGTTTCTTCTCCCTGGGCAGAAGTATCTAATTTTATGATCGAAGCCCGGGATCGCGAAGATGATGGCTTTGGTAGCGCACTTGGGAGGCTCTCGAGGCTGGCATTTACGCCGCCGATCGTGGCCTCATCTCTGCGGAGGTCGAAGCGGTGATAACCGTTTCGAGGAAGGCCGATCCGCGAGGAGACTCAAGGCCTGCCCTAATTTAAGGTACTAAGGCGGCTCAACGGCGTCTCGCCCGCTATCTGCGGAATGGAGGTCACTCCAGATCCGGCAGAGGTGAGGGTCTTAATCCAAAAGCATGCGATGCGCCCCTAGGAGGTACCAAGAGGGCGGAAGGGAAAATCCCCGAAAAAGCGCAGTCGTCCGCAGGTAGCACCGGGCACGCGGCGACGGCGACCTCGCTGAAAAATTAGGCAAGGTAGGACCGGCTCGCGAGGCTATAATCCTGCTCTAATCCTCTCCGGAAAATCGATCGGGTCCGAAAAAGAGCCCCTTGTACCCGGATCGCGAGGCACCGTCGACTGCGCTTTTTCTGCGCTTATTCCTTCGGCCCTCTCCCTCCGTCTCGTTCTCTCCTCTCTCCGTCGGTCTCCCTTTTTTCGGGCGCGTCGCCGCCGGCCCGAGGGAGGAACGTACTTAAATGGCCGAGCACACGCACGAGCACACCTACACCGGGCCTCGAGGATGCCGTTCGTTCGAGAGGACGCCTCTTAAGCGGCTCAACGCGTAGGAGCGTATGCGAGCGGAAAGCCGACAAAGCTATCGGCGCCGAATGCATCCCGGGCAGATGCTCCCTTTTCGAGGTCTCGCCTTTCTCTCTCTCGCCGCCTCTCGCCTCGCCTCGCTCGGTCTCTCTCCCTCTCTGCTCTTCCCGCTGCTCCTCTTTCTCGAGTGCCGAAGCCATGCGGACAGGACTCGAGCCGTGTCGTAACTCAGGGTTCTTCCGCGCCGCGCGTTGCGCGTCGAGACCCGCGAAAGTCACTCTCTCCTCTCCGAGCACGCGTTCAGAAAATCAATCCCTGGAATTTCATCCACCGCGTCGATCTTCGGTAAACTCGTTTCACCGTCCGGCTTTCCCGAATATACGAGATCCTCTCCCGTCGAAACGTGGGGGAAAAAAAAGAACTTCACTCCCGATATTTCCAATCTATGGAATAATTCTCCTGATAAATTAATAGATCGGCGTAAAAAGCGGGAGATGATTTTTCCTTTTCTTTCTTTTTTTTCCCCTTTTTTTTCAGGAAATTCGGGACAGACCGGTCTCCGGAGTGGCGCAGGTCGGACGCTCTCGGCCGCGTCGGGAAGGAGAAGCGGGGCAGGTGGGGCGCCCGGAGGAGGAGACACAATCGATTAGGGCGTCGGCCATTTTGTTGGCGGGTCCGTCGGGCGAGCCAATGCGGGCGCCGGGAGGCGTGGAAGCGGCGGGTGGGGTTGGCGGGCGGCGCCGGCCGAGCGAGCGAGCCCCAGGACGCAGTCAGTGCCTCTCTGGGCCCCGCGCTGTCAGTCTCGACGGGGCCGCTCTCGGTGCTTCGCCACCCCCGACGTAGGACGCTCGCCCCGCCGCGCGCACTGCCTCGATAGTGGCGCGCACGCGCCTGGGGTAGTACTCCGCGGGTCACGGGGGTCGACCCGGTCCTGCCCGCAGGTGCACGCGAAGGCTGGGGGTGGCGGGTGGCCGCGGGGAGCAGGGCGCCCCTAGGGCCCGCGGTGCGGTGGCGGTCACGGAGTTACCGGAGTTACCGAGTGCGGGAAGCTCGAGCGAAACCGGAGGTACGGTATACGACGTCCTCGAGGAGGAAGGTGCCGCCTACGCGGATTTCCGACCGCGACCTAACCTCGCTTTCGAACGCGTCCCAGGAAACGCATAGATACCGCGGTTGAAATCGCGCCTAAACATCGACCGGAGTGACGGGTACCTACACTGTTAAAAAAATTGTGTGACATTTTATAACACTTTCGATCGCAGCTTTATTAAGACGTGGTGTATTAGTTTTATAACATAGTTCGAATAAAGTATGTAACATGTGTTATGAATTTAGTACACGTATGCAATAAAATTATTTTTAAAATGTAATAATTTTATAATACCTGTATTATAATGCTATAATACGCGTATTATAATTTCGTAATAATTCTTCGAAGATACACTTGCAAAAATTTAAAAATAGTATCGTAAAATTAAAAAAACTCACGTAAGGGGATTATAAACAACGTGTACTAAGTGATATGAAATTTAATAATTTCGCAGAATCATAACCCAATGTTACGAGATTGTAAATTAATTTAGAAGCTTCCAGGAAATGTATGCTAAATCACTTTTAAGACGTCAAGTTTATAATTGTATTACGTTACCTTATGCACCAAAAGTGTATGAATTATTATGAATAATTTTTTTTTTCTTTTTTCTAACAGTGTAGATCGTAGAATATTCGAGTTACCGGCGGTGTCTTGTTCATCGGCGCTCGAGACATGGCCAGCCTCTGCCTGGAGGCTCGAAAAGTTCCCCGGGACTCGTTCTTTACGTCGTGAAAGGGGCTTTTGCGATATCCGCGACGCCATGTCGGCCGTCGAGCGGTGATCGGCGAGGATCGCGCGGCCGGAGACACCGCGGGTTACGGAAACGTGACGCGGAGGAAGAGGAAGGAACCAAGGTGGGACGGGAGCTGTCAAGATTGCTCGCAAGTCGTCTCGCGGGGCGTGCAGGGCAGGCCGAGCCGCAGCTATAGGGGGCGCCAGCGTGATGCAGCGGGCGGGCGCGGGAGGACCGGAGCCCCTCGGCCTTCAGGGTCCTCCGAGGTCCCTCAAGATCTCGCCCGTCAAGATCCAGGATGAAGTCGGGGATCCGCTGTCGCAGAGTAAGTAGTCTCGCTGGCCGGGAACCTCCATTTTGGTCACTCGGCCATTTTACTCGGACGCGAGGTCGAGGCGTCCGGGGACCCGACTCTCGACTGTGTACGATCAACTTTCGCATACGAAATTGACAGTCTCGTGTACGACTTTCAACAGTTGGTATTCTTGAGTGATCACCGCGGTTTCGTATTCGAATGGCACCGCCGCATGGGTCATAGCATGCGGAAGATATTATTCGTATACGAAAGTAACATAAAACTATCGGTTTTTGTGAAGGGGTTGAAGATCGATATGACCATATAGGGAATGACAGGAGAAAAAATTAATAATGCTAAAGCGAACATTTTCTTCGTTCGGGCATTTCACGGACGAGCGGTTACGTTGCTTCGTAGTCGCGTACGATTACCTACGAGTAATTCGCACGAACCCAATTCGAACAGTCCTCAAGAGTTGGTTTTACTGCTCGTATGCGAAATTTTTCATGCGAATCTGTTCGTATGCGAAAAAATCCGTATGATCTCGAGAATCGGGCCCCGGGTCGCGTGGATGAAACGTACCTCGATTTTGCCTCGAATACCGTCACTAGAAGAGATCGAAGATGTCCTTTTCCGCTAAAAATCATGTGAGAGGACGGACCGGACTTTTTAATCCGCGAAATTCTCCGCGCTTCGAAGGGGATCGTCCCGGAGGCGTCGGATTAGGATTAGGATTTACCCCCGGGGAGGGGGGGTGTTACTCCACTTCTGCGGGGTAGCAGCGATTTCTTTTCGACGGAAATCCCATTTGGCCAACGGTCGAGAAACCTTGTCATGAGAGAAATAATAACATTAGGGTGTTTCTTGATCTTAACGGATGTCGGTACATTTCACTCGCGTTTGGAATCAACGGAAGTATGGACAGTAACGTCTCGATACGGGAGAGGTCCTGAATGATGAACTTGGCTTAGGACTCTTGGACAGTGGTTTGAACGGACACGAGTATTTCTAACCGCTGAACTAAATTGTGATCGTCGACGTGATTATCAGGGCGATCGCCGGCGATCGTTTAACGGTCAAGACCTCCGGAAGAAGATTTAAAGATCGTCGCAAGTGCCATGGATCACGTGGACCTTCGAGGTACCTCCTCGATCGGAGAACGTTACCTCGCGGCGGTTTTCTCTCTTTCGAGTTTTTAAAAGCCTTTCTACGTCCACATGGAAATCCGGCGCGCTTAACCCGGAGGACGTCGGATACCTGATCAGGGTCCGGTTAATTTGCCTAATCAAGGCCCAGCGGAAGGAACGTCGCGGCCTCGGTTAGGGCCTGATAGATTTTCCCGAACCCCAGGTGCCCATATATATAAATCCGGGCAATTACTCGGGCCCTTTCGAGAGGATCTCCCGAAGCTTTTTCGAGGTCCGCGTGAAATTCCCGCCCGTCGTCGAGGCGGAAAGTCGATCGGCGCGAAGGGCCTCTCGGGGGTCCTTTGAAATAATTCGATATCGATTCGCTAAGCCGAGGAGCTTTGCCTTTATCGGGCCCCCGATTCATCGGGATCTGGCCGACGTCAAAGGTGAAGCTCCTAGTCGCACAAAGGACCCCGAAGATTCGGGTGTCGATATACCGGCGAGACGAGGGTCCGAAGGATTGAAGGTTTTTATAGCCCCTTACCTTTCGATTGCGATGTCTGCAAACCTTCCCCGCGATGGTATCGCCAGGAAGTGCTTGGCTTTTTCGAAAAGGGTCCAGGGAAATTAGTGCGCCGAGGAGTCTCTCCGGATTTTCGACCTGGGGCCCCGTGTACACGGCGGCGCTCGTTGCGCTCCCCGGGGCCACCATAAACCCCCTCGGCGTTTTTGCCAGGAGAGAGACCTCCGTAAAACCCCGCCCCTCGGCTTTCTCCGGTGGACCCCCGTTAACGCGTTTAAACGCAATTAGACGTTACTCGGACCGGAGCTCGGGTCGGCCGATCGTATTCCGAGGCATACACAAATTAGTCACCGGGGACGGCATCTGTCCAGGGGGATTCTTAGCCGGTGACTAATTCTACCCGGAGCTCTGCAGCTCTTGCCTTTTAATCCGGCCCTTCCACCGAACCCGAGATAGCGCGATATTGCCGTAATCGTTTAAACCCCCCCCTTTTAACGTTACCGTAATAAATAATCGCCGCGACCATCCCCTTAAATCGTACGGTTAAAAAGGTACGTTAAATAAAGGAGAGAGAAAAAAGAAAGAAAGAAGAAACAGAATCCTCGGGGTAACGTGCACCGGTGAATTCACTCGCTCATCAGGCGTACTTGTTAGTCGAGGGTTGCGAGCGATGCACTTGCACGTCCGCGGTTGACAAATAGCGCCGAGGTACCGGTAAAACGGGCTTGGAATGAGATTCACGGTTTTCCACTTCTTTTTTTCTATTTTCTTAATCGTTTTCTGGTCTTCTTTTTACACGGCTAGATCGAGACGCGAGCATCGACGCGTTACGGCGAGTGAATTCTCGCCGTTTGCGAATCATGGGAATTATTATCGCCGGGAGGAAATGGCACCCCTCGATTGCACAGGGATCGATGACGTTTGCTGCATCGGTGCTGGAACTCATTAGAAAATAACGGTCCCGAGGGCCTCGCGATCGTTTACGGTCTTCGGGGGTTGGAGTCTCGGAGGATCGGTAACGTTTTACGGTTATGCGCCAGTCAAAATGTTTACTGCATCCCCGTTGTCTTCGAAAGCCCTCGCTCCTCGGGCCGGCGTCTCGATGCCTTTGTTCATACCGGAACAAGGCAGGAAGACGTCCCCCCTGGTGCAGGTCTCGAGACGCTTCCTGCAAACGATCTCGCCGTTAAAGTCCGGGAATTGCAGTCCGTAAATCGCGGGTCGCACTTTTAACGAGCCCGGGAATTCTATTAAGCCGTGCTCCGGATTTCGTGTTGACGTCGATGCGCGCCGGGGTTTATTAAAACGTCGGCTCGTTAAAGGCCTGGTAGTAGTCCGCGTTAGATGGGGGACGCCTTCCTGTTAACTCATTAGGAGCACGCGTCATAAATTCATGCGTTGACACTCGCTGGAGCGCGACCACGCGTCCCCCTAGCCGGGAGGGGACGAATTTCCGCGGGGTATCGATGTACTCCGGACGATCCATCGACTCGGAGATCCGTCACCTAACGAGCTTCCCTAATCACCGAGCGCGCTCGCTTAGATAGCCTAATCGCCAGCTCGCGAGCGAGACATTATACCTATGCCAATTACGGTCGCCGGTCGCTCCGGTCGACTTCTCGTCGGCGCGGAACCTCGACGAGATCTCGGATCGATTCGAAGGGCCAGCCGTTTTCGCGAAACGAACGGCATCGAGTATCATCGTATTCCGGGCCTTTGACGAGCGCCCGTTGCGCCGGCGAGTAGTTTAATCGCGCAAAGTGCCGCTCGTCCACCGGGAGAGCTTCACGGTCCAGCCGACGAGGGTTCGACCAATGTCGCCTACCCTGCGCTCGGGGCGCAGAGGGAGGGGGATGATTTAGATTTCGGTCCGGTCCTGCAGGAATCGGGGGTCCTGGGCGAGGCCGTGGAAATCATCAGCCGATTAGAGTGCAGATGTTCTCGTTCGGAGATTACGGCTCGTTTTCCCCGTCCCAAGGACTCCGCTCCTCCACGAGAATTGCGAGGGCGGTAGAGGACGCGAGGATGGCTCGGCGACTTGCCGGGAGTCTAGTTTTCCAAGGAAAGTGCTTAGGTTCAATATTTTCGTTGGAAATTGTCGAGAGCTTTGGATTATTTAAACTGGAGTTGAGAGTGATGGTGGAGTCCGGGCTCGTACAAAATCATCGGTTGATTAGAGTGCAAAGGTTCTCGTTCGGAAATAACGGCTCGTTTTCTTCCTTCTGCGGATTCCGCTCCTTCGCGAGAATTGGGAGGACGGTGGAGGACGCGAGGATGGCTCGGCGACTTGCTGGGAGTCCAGTTTTCCAAGAGAAATGCTCTGGTTTAATATTTTCTTTGGAAATTATCGGGAGCTTTCAACTATTTAAACTGGACTTGAGAATGACGGTGGACTCGGGGCTCGTACAAAATCATCGGTTGATTAGAGGGTAGATGCTCTCATTTGGAAATAACGGCTCGTTTTCTTCCTTCTGCGGATTCCACTCCTCCATGAGAATTGGGAGGACTCGAGGATGGCTCGGCGACTTGCTGGAAATCCAGTTTTCCAAGGGGGACGTGCTTCGGTTTAATATTTTGTTTGGAAATTATCGGGAGCTTTCGACTATTTAAACTGGACTTGAGAATGACGATGGAGTCGGGGCTCGTACAAAGTCATCCGTTGATTAGAGTGCAAATGTTCTCGTCCGGAAATAACGGCTCGTTTTCTTCCTTCTGCGGATTCTGCTCCTCGACGAGAATTGCGAGGACGGTGGGGGACGCGAGGATGGATCGGCGACTTGCTGGGAGTTCAGTTTTCCAAGGGAAGTGCTTCGATTTAATATTTTCTTTGGAAATTATCGGGAGCTTTCGACTATTTAAACTGGATTTGAGAATGACGATGGAGTCGGGGCTCGTACAAAATCATCGGTTGATTAGAGTGCAAATGTTCTCGTCCAGAGATTACGGCTCGTTTTCTTCTGCGGATTCCGCTCGTACACGAGAATTGCGAGGACGGTGGGAGATAGGGAGGAACGCTAGGATGTATTGGAGACTATTGCTGGGAATCCAGTTTTTCAAGGGGAGTGCTTAGGTTTAATATGTTTCTTGGAAATTATCGATAGCTGCCGATAGTTTAAAATGTATTTGAGAATGATGTCGGCGCAGGGACTCGTACAAAATCATTAGTCGATTAGGATGCAAATGTGTTCGTTCGGAGATTGCATTCCTGCAATAATTATCGAGCCATCCCTCAGATCTCTCCCCGTGCACAAGGGATTTTTTGATAACCATTTTTGGGAGCCAAATCTTTCAAGAAGGAGTTCTCAGAGTTGACGGAATGCACTAAATATCCCGTGCAAGACTCAGAAGCGCTTATTCAAAGGGGATCTTAAATACAA